CACCCCTGTGTATACCATACTCAGGCAGTTTGATCATTTATTATATATACATATGCCCTGTGTTTTCATGTATGAGTATATTTTAGATCTTCCACATATGAGTGAAAACAAGTGCCCTTTGTCTCTCTGAGCCTGACTTGCTCTGTTTACCAACTTTCTTCTCCAGGAAAAAAAATTTTTTTTATATGTTTTAAGAGATTTAAATGAGCTAATATTTATAAAACATTTAGAATAATGCCTGGAATATGGTATTATGTAAACATTAAACAAAACCCATCTTACACCAGGCTTTTTAGTTTCTGAGTATGTTCACCAAGCATTTTTGATCTTTGCTGAATTTATTATCTTTCCTAAACTGGGTTAGACTGATGCTGTTTACTTTTTACATATACTGCCTATCTGCATAAGGAAACTGTACTTCAGTCAGGAAAATTCTGTGTTTGAGCCCAGTCTGGTTTACATAACAAGACCTTACAATTCTTTTTAAAGCAGTCATTGTTCAACTACAGGTTTTTTAAATTAGCTTTTATCTCCACTGAAACAAAAGTAGGAGTAAATTTCTCTGTAAATTTCCAGGCTATGGAAATGGCGCTGTGGCTCAAGTGGTAGAGCGCTAGCCTTGAGCTGAAGAGCTGAAGGACCGTGCCCAAGCCTAGAGTTCAAGCCCCTGACCGACAAAAAACAAAACAAAAACAAAACAAAAATTTCCAGGCTATTTATTTATATAAATAAAAGAAGTCAACATAAGGAGGGTACTATAAACCAAGTTTTTATTCATAAACAGAATAATTCTAGCTTAATATTTTACTGTATTGACTCTAGTTATGACACTAAATTTTGTGCTTAAAATAGTTAGAAATGTGGTTTTGTTTTGTTTAATTCCTGTCTGTAAAAAGACGGATGTCGATGGCTTACATTTATAACTCTAGGAACCTGAGATCTGAGGATCTCAATCAAAGCCAGCCCGGGCAGCAAAGTCTGTGAGACTCTTGTCTCCAATTAAACACCAAAAAAGCTGGAAATGGACTTGTGGCTCAAGTGGTATAATATGTGAGCCTTAAGCACAAAAGCTCAGAGATAGCACCCAGGTCCTGAATTCAAGCCCCAGGACCAGTACCAAAAAAAAAGTGAGAGAAAGAGAGAGAGAGAGAGAAAAAGAGAGAGAGAGAGAGAGAGAGAGAGAGTGTGTGTGTGTAATGTGTATGTAACAGTCTCTTAAAATCTTTCTTCTAAGAATCTATTTGGTCACAAGAGAAACTGTTCTTTATGAAAGGTTATTTCCTTCATTATATTAGTTGTCTTCTTTATCAAGTCTTTGTTTTCTCTATTTTTGTCTTCTCTATCAACTTACTTGGACTATATTCCATCTTTTTTTCTTTTAAACTTTTAGCTTTATTGTCTTTTGGGGAAAGCAAAATGCTCTTCAGCATACCTACCTATACTCAAACTTTTTGTTTTCCTAGTGCAATCAAGACAACTAAAAAATGCCAATAAACCAAACACTGATATCCAAAATTTAAAACTTGGAGTAGCAATAACAGATTCTAGTACTGCAAGAAGGAATAGCAGTAATAGATTGTCTTTACATAAGACTCTTAAGAATAGATATTTGAACTGAGTACCTATTTTTGCCCTTTAAGCTACTTGGGAGACTGAGAACGGAAAGATTGATAATTAATGCAAAACAAGACTGGAGACATGGCTTAAGTGGTAAAGAACTGACCTAGCAAGTAGAAGGCTCTTGAGTTTGAACTCTTGTATTACTAAAAAGAAAAATATATACAGCTACTTGAAAATTAACTACATAAACACACATTCACTGGAAAGATATTGGAGAAGATGCAAAAAACTTGGGTCCAATTTCTTGCTTCACTCTAATATGATAGGAATTAATGGAGTGAAGCCAGTATTTGCATATGACTTAAAAACTAAACAGGTGTAGAGAAACATCTTTAGTGAACTTTTTTTTTTTTTTTTTTTTTTTAGTCATGGGGCTTGAACTCTGGGCCTGGGCGCTGTCCCTCAGCTCTTCAGCTCAAGGCTAGCGCTCTACCACTTGAGCCACTGCACACTTCCAGTTTTCTGACTGGTTTATTGGAGATAAGAGTCACATGGACTTTCCTGCCCGAGCTGGCTTTGAATGCGATTCTCAGATCTCAGCCTCCTGAGTAGCTAGGATTACAGTTATGAGCCTCCCGAGCCTGACCTAGTGAGCTTTTTTTTTGGGGGGGGGGTGAGGGGAGGTGCCAATTCTGATGCTTGACCTCTACTTTTTGGTGCTTAATTGAAGATAGTCTCTTGGACTTTTCTCCTCTGGCTGGCTTCAAACTGTGATCCTCCCAATCTCAGCCTCCCAAGTAGCTACAGTTACAGGCATGAGCCACAGGCACCCGACCTTTAATGAGCTTTGAGCCTGGTTTTCATTCTCTGGCAAGCTATTGTTAAATATATCATCTATACAATAATAGTAGTAATGATAAAAAGTTTCAGCCTCTGACACACTGGGTAAGGAGTTTATCATCCACTCTGTGAGACAGACCCTGGCTTCTCCAGGTTATAAATACAGAGCTTGAGTCTTAGTACCTGGGTTTACAACCTTCTATTAAAGGCATTTATTTACTGGAATTAACTAGTAGTAAATACCAATTTGCATTATTTACTACCATGAACAAGACAGCAGGAAATTTTACCATTAAATCAGTTTCATGAATAGTTAGAAATTGATACTTTTGAAAGAACAAATTAACTGAAATGTTTATTAGCCACTTCCTTGCAGAACTGAATTTTGTCTTGTTATGGGTAAGACTGTTAGTAGATTCTGGCTACTTAATGTTTATTCGTTGCTCTACCTTAGGGGTTGGCAGAGTATGGCCCAGGGGACAGATCTGTCCTAGTGCCTATTTTTGTAAGTAGTTTTACTGGAACACACCCTTGTTTATCGATGGGCTGCAAGGTTTAAAATATTTAAATCATAAAATATTTACTGTCTGGATCTCTGTTGAATAGATAGCTGATCCCTGCTTTATTTCATTCAGCAAAAAATTTGAAGCAACCAAATTGTTGCTATTGTCATTTTGGACTTTTAGAATCAGGTCTTTACAATCCTTCTACCTTTACCCACCTCCCAAGTACTGGGATTAGATGTGTCTGCCACATTTCCTGGATGGAAACAATCAAATTTTGTTTCTAATCCTAAAGATATGTTAAACTCCTTTAAAATTTTTCCATATACATTATATCCTTTATGAGAAAAGATTGAGGGAGAAGTAAAAATTTGAGGTGATTAGGCTAATGGAATGTTTCTTTTCCCCAAGAACATTACATTCATTTGATAATCTTTGCTAGTATACCTAAGACTTAAGAGTTATGTGTAGTATTGCCCAGCTGATTAAATATATTTTAGGGTCATTGCTTTCTTCCAGTGAAAAACATTTTATTCCATCACATTAGAAAGATAACAAAGAGGATATAATAAAGGTTGAATTTACAGAGAAATAAAATTTGGTCATAGGTGAGTTTTTATTTACTTTCTTTGTCTAGGAGAGAAATTCTCATCAGGTTTCCAATTAGGTAGTTACCTGATCCCTCTCAGAGTCATGTCTGTCCATTCCCCCTGTTGAAACAAGTAAGTGCTGAGTCCCCTTGACACACTCAAGTTTCACAAGCCTTGGGATCTTGAGTCTACTCTTTACTTAAGGGTTCATAATTGAGAATGAGACCTTTTCCCTTCTCACTCATAAATATAATGAAGGTGGTATCAGAGTAACTTTTGTAGACTTAGCAGAAGAGTAGTACCTTGAGACCAATTATGCAGTGTTAAATTTTTTTGCTCTAACGTAGCTTCCAAAAGGAAGATTGGCTTGGAAAATATGTGTATAAAAATGTTCCCTTTTCCTTTTTTCTTGTTACTGACTATACTTCATAACAGAATTTAATGTTGTTTTTGTTACTTGGCAGGAAATATATTAATACTGTGGTGGTATGGAATGTTTCTTCTGCACTGGGTATCAGCTCGATTGTACATTTAATCTTCCAACAGACTTTAACTTATTAACAATTTGTATTCCTAGTTATTATTTAAATAGTACATTGGGCTGTGTTCAAGAATATTGCATATGTATCTGAAATACAGTTCAGAAAATGGAAAAAAATGTTTCTGTAGGTTGCACATAAACAGTGAACTTGGTGATACAAAAAAAAGTTATAAAACAAGTTTAAAATAATAAAGTACTCCAAAATGAGTTTTTTCTCTATGAAAATACTCTAGGGAATGAATCTGAAGGCTTTTCTTAGAGGAAAGGTTTCTATTTTAAAATACACATACACATGTAACAAAGAAAATACAGAAGGTAATGAAGATTGCCAAAATGATAAATTACCTACTGAATTTCTTATCAGTAAAAAAAAAAAAAGATATATTCTTTCCTACTCTGATTTTACACTATTAGCAACTGAGATATTTCAAAAAGGATCTTACAATTCAAGTGTTTATCTTCAAGGAAAAGTTCTAATCAGCTGTGATACCATCCAATCTCACCATTCCTCTACCTCTAGATTTACTCTAATACATGAGTAGTAGAATATGAATACTGTCTGGATTTTTTTGTTTGATTTTTTTACTTAGTATTGGGAAGATTATTCAAACATTGAAGTTACTTTCTTACTATATAATACAGTGGTAATTTCATTTTGGAAGAAGTAAGATAATGTGTATAAAGTACCAGATAGGATTTCTTGGAATGCAGCTACCTCTATTTGTTCCCTATTCTATTTGCACCATTTTTAAAAAAGCATTCAGTGAGGAGTTACAGTCCTTTCATTTAGTTTTTTTTATACCTGAGGGGAGGTTTCCCTCACTCTCTTACTGGATAGCGTGTGTGTGTGTGTGTGTGTGTGTGTGTGTGTGTGTGTGTGTGTGTGTGTGTGTGTTCATGATAAAATTATCACATGATTAAAACTAGAGAAATGAAAATAAACTTTTGTGTGGTGTTTTGATGCAGTCAGCTTTGTTAAACCGTCTGGAGCGAATTTTCGAAGCATGTTTTCCTTCCATATCTGTCCCTGATGCTGAAGAGGAAGTTATTTCCCTGAAGCACTTGCTGGAAACAAGCACCTTGCCAGTAAAAACAAGAGAGGCCTTAGCTGAAAGTGGGTGAGTAGTAGTTCTAGGATAACATGTGGTTATGTTAATTTCAATTGTTCTAATTTAGAAGGTTACCATGCAGCATTAAAGTTCTAATTCATTACTATGTTGAAGTTTAATCCTGTTACACTGTAAGACAATGAAAAAACTCCTTTGCCTTTGAGGTTGCTTTGTTTATTTATTACAATATGGGGTTTGTACTCAGGATTTTGTGTTCTAAGCACAAACTTTACGACTTAAACCACACCTCTCAGCCCTTGAACTGTTTCTTTTGATGTTGCTAAATCAGTGTTCTACTCAATGTTACATATTTTGACTTCCAAGTATTATAAATGAGGGGTTTTTGCTACAGGGCCTCATCGGTATCTAAAACTAGTCTCTTTTGCAATCCTCCTACTTTAGCCACCCAAATACAAGGATTACAGGCATGCACCTTTATTACTGACTTAAATGAGAATTAGGTTTTACCTATACTAGTTCTTTTCATCTTTCCAGTATATTTGCATCCTCATTTTTTGTTGATTTTTCTTAGTTTTTCCTCTTTATAATCATATAACTACTGCTCATATTGTTCACCAACTCCTTGTTTGCTTTATAAAACTTTTCCTGGACTTGACATAGGTTGATCATTCTTAATCCAAAACCTGAAATCCAAAACTTTCTGAGGAAATAATGTGACTAAACAATAATACATACCATAAAATAGAAAATAGAAAATACTAATAATAGGAGCCAAATAATAGAAACAAGTTACCAAGAACTATGGCGCTTATAGCTAAAATACTTATGGTGCATCAACCCAATACCACACAGGTATTGAAGTGGTCATGGTAGGTTGAATACTATTGAAATAGATTATTTGTAACTGTGAAAATAGAACAATGAAACCTGTTGAAATTATTTGGGGACGGGTACTAGGGAAAATGGTGTATGAAATTGATTGGAATACATTGTGATAAACATATGGAAAAGTAACAATGAAAAATTTGCCTATATAACAAATGTAAACTAAAAGTAGTAGTAGTAGTAGTAGTAGTAGTAGTCATGGTAGACTCCTAATCCATAGCAGATATGTTGCAAGATCTTCGTATTTTGAATAGTACTAAGTCCTGTTGTGTTTTTGTTGGGGGGAGGAGGTGATGGGGTTTTTTTTAATTTTAATTTTTATTTTTTGTGAACATACTGTACAGAGGGGTTACAATTGCATGGGCAAGATAATGAGTACATTTCTTATAAAGCATTGCAGCCTCCTCCTTTGTTTACCCTTCACATCCCTTGCCAGCCGCCCCCCCACCCAATCCCCCCCACACACACCAAAGTTGTAAAGTTCGTTTTTGACATGACAACTTGTACTTCTCATAGTTGCATCAGGTCCACCTGTATCCTTAAACGACTTGTTTTTCCCCATCTCCTCCACAAATTATACCGACATCAAATATAGTGAAAGCAGGAGTGGGTGATGGGTTTTGGGTTGTTTTTCTTTTTTCCTTTTTCACTATTTATCTAACCTATGATAAAACTCCAGTTTATAAATCAAGCATGCTAAGAGATTGTAACCAATAACTAGTAAAACTAATGTAACAGTTGTAGGTTGTATGATTGCTCTCTCTCAAAATACTGAATGGTTCTCACCATCTGTAGTGATGTTAGATGAGCATGGCATGAGGGAAATGGCCAGAACAAGCATCCAGTTACAACTTAGGAATTATTACTAGAATTTCTCTTTTAGTAGTTTCAGACCATAGTTGGCCAGAGGCAAGGGAAGCTATATGCAAAGTCAGTCTACAGATTGGCACATGTAGACTAGGAAATGCTTGAAGCTTAGAACCTGAAAAAGAGTATAAGATTAGATACATACTTTAATATATACTTTATGTGTATATTATATATACATGCATATATATGTGTGTGTATATCTATCTATCTTATCTATCTAAAATCATAGTTATTCAGGAAGCTAAGATCTGAGGATTGAGGTTCAGAGCCAGCCTGGGCGGACATATGAGACTCTTATCTCCATTTAACTAGCAAAAAGGTAGAAAAGGAGGTATTACTCAAGGGTAGAGCTTCAGCCTTGAATGAAAAAGCTGTCCTCTAGAGATATGAGGCCACACATTGAAGTTCCAGTACCAGCACCAAAAAAAAAAAAATCAACACAGATAATGAGCTTTTGTTATTTCAAATGAGCACACTTACATTAGACCCAAGATTAATTGGCATGTATATGTCCTATTCATATTGAAATTAGAATTCATAGTGAAAGCTCTTGAGTAACTTTCATCCTGGTCTTTTCAGAGAACTGCTGGATGTTTGGACGGAGCTACAGGATATCCATGATGCACATGGCTTGAAATACCAGTGGGGTGGTTCCCACAGCAACAAGAAGCTTTTGTGTTCCTTGGGAATAGATACGAGAAACATTGTGAGTTTGTTAGTACATTTAATCAACGTATATATGTTTAAATTTTGTTAATTTCTGTTCATGCTATGATGATCTAGTTCTCCAGAAAATGTAATATTAGCTAAAATGTTCATTTAGTTTAAATATGTTGATGTCTAAACAGAAATCTACTTAAATGTTTCTCTAAGTAATGTTTCTTTTTTTTTTTTTTAAAGGTAGTTAGTTATAAGTTGGGCACCAGGGGCTCATGCCTGTAATGTTAGCTACTTAGGAGGCTGAGGTTTAAGGATTATGGTGTAAAGCCAGTATAAGCAGGAAAGTCCATGAGATAGTTATATCCAATTAATCATCAAAAATCTGAGCCAGGCAACAGTGGCTCACGCCTGTAATTCTAGCTAATCAGGAAACTGAGATCTGAGGATCAAAGTTCAAAGCCAGCCTAGGCAGGAAAGTCCATGAGACTCTTACCTACAATTAACCAAGAGTGGTGCTGTAGCTCAAGTGGTAGAGTGCTCACCCTGAGGTGAAGAACTGAGGGACAGTGCCCCGGCCCAGAGTTCAGGCCCCACAACCAACCAAAATAGTCATCAAAAATCTGGAAGTGAGTCAGGCAACCGTGGCTCACACTTGTAATCCTAGCTACTCAGGAGGCTGAGATCTGAGGATTGTAGTTCAAAGCCAGTCTGGGCAGGAAAGTCCCTAAGAGTCTTTATCTCCAATAAACCACCAGAAACCTGGAAGTGGTGCTGTGGCTCGAGTGGTAGAGTGCTCACCCTGAGCTAAAGAGCTGAGGGATAGCGCCCAGGCCCAGAGTTCAAGCCCCATGACCAGTTAAAAAAAAGTCTGGAAGTAGAAATATGGCCCAAGTGGTAGAACACTAGCCTTGAGAAAAAAAAGTCAGGGACAGTGTCCAGGTCCTAAATTCAGCCCCCAGGAATAGCACAAAAACAAAAAGGTAGTCGTTTTAGCCACTTTTATAAGAGGAAAAATTTAAGAGCATATAACTCCATATGAGAAGTTTAAAATATTTATTAGTCATAGTGTAATAAATAATACAAAATACATTATATGACAGATCATTCTGTAAATACTTGTTCTTTCTCTCCAACACGTGTGTAGCTCTTCACGGGCAATAAGAAGCAGCCAGTAATAGTGCCCATGTATGCAGCAGGATTGGTGAGTATACAAGTGTCTAAATACAATGTATTTATCATTTATCCTGTAAAATCATCTTGTATAATATGAAATGGAAATATATTTTAAAAGGGTAGTCAGTGTTGTAATTTGAAGGATATATTTTATGTATAATTTGCTTTTTGATCTCATAAATCTAAATATTAATCTCAGGACATTTTTATATCCTATTAAGTATAGATACTGTATTTTATATTCAAAATTATTTTTACCTTGGTAATGTTGGCACTTACAACTCTTTGTAAAAACACATTTTTGAAGGACTCATTCTTTTCTAAACTTCTCAAAAAAGATTCTGAAGGCTGGGTAATGGTGGCTCATGCCTATAATCCTAGCTACTCAGGAGGCTGAGATGTGAGGATCGTGGTTCAAAGCCAGCTCAGGCAGGAAAGTCTGTGAGACTTATCTCAGATTAGTCACAGAAAAAGCCAGAAGTAGTTCTGCGTTTGAAGTGGTAGGGCAGAGGAGCTCAGAGGCAGCACCCAAGCCCAGAGATTGAGCCCTGGTACAGGCAAAAAAAAAGAAAGAAAGAAATGAAAGTATCAGATTCTCTAAAAATACTTGTTTTAGTACACGTATTAAATAGTATAATATTGAAGATGCAGATGTATAAAAGCTTGGAAATGCCAAATTATAGTAAATGAAAATGATCCAGGATTCATAATTAATGCTTTGTTTTTCCATTAATAATTTAAATGAGTTAATTTTTTTAATATATGCCCATCCTGGAAAGCTAAGACATTTTCATTCTGTTCTTTATCAAGACTTGGTTATATTTTAAAGTTTGATGTTTATGTGTCTTCATGTTTCATTAAGTTGTTTGTTGGAAAATAAAAAATTTAATTATACCTAAATTTTTCTCTTGGTGCATCTTATACATGAGATGTTCAGTAATCTTTTCATTTCTTCTAGAGAAATAATAGTACTCAAAATGATCATTTAATTCTTGGTTCTCAGGCTTTTTTTTTCTTTTTTTCTTTTTTCCAGTTTATACAGTACTGTGATTTGAACTCTGGAAGTATGTGCTTACTAGACTGATTAGGCTCTACCACTCAAACCTTGCCTTCAGCAGATTTCTGGATACTACCCCTAGACCATATTCAGGATGGTTGGGGTAGAGCTTGAAAGTTTACACATCTGACAACTTCTTGGGTACTGCAGAGATTCTGATAGGGGATCACAATTTGAGAGCCTTGGGTATAAGTGATCATTCAAATTAGGAATCTTTTATTCAGGCACTTGTGGCTCATGCCTGTAATCCTAGCTACTCAGGAGGCTGAGACCTGGAGGATCACAATTGATTCAGAGCCAACCTGAGCAGAAAGGTCTGCAAGACTCCATCTCCAGTTAACTAGCAAAATAACTGGAGACCTGACTCAGTAGGGATCGCTAGCCATGAGCTAGAAAGCTGAGTTGAAACTCTAGTACTGCCAAATACAAATAATAAAAATTTTAAAAGATTTGAAATTTTAGGCTGACATTAGTAATTACTAGTGTATTTTCTCCTTGATAAGGAACTGAAGGTCTGGCTCAAGTGGTAGAGTACCTGCCTACCAAGCACAAAGCTCTGATTTTAAACCCTAGTACTAAAAAAAAAAAAAAAAAAGTAAATAAATAAAAAATTAAATACTTTGGATTCTAAAGACATTGTGGAACAGATGGTTTTCTGATGCCAGTACAAGCATTTGAACTCAGGTCCTCACACTCTTTGTGAAACAGATTCTCTGTAAACAACATATAAGAATAGTTCCTTTTTGTCTTTAGCACTTTGCAAATGATTTTTTTTTCTTCTAGATTATCTTTTTATAAAGTTTATGGGTTGACTCCCCTCCTTCAAGTAATGACTAATATACCTTTTTCAGGGTATGTTAGAGCCCACCAAGGAACCATTGAAACCACTGTCAGCTGCAGAAAAAATTGCTTCCATTGGTCAGACAACCACCATGACACCAGAGATGAACACGTGTCCATCTGATCAGTTCCAGGTAAAAATACTTACATTTCCATAGATATGTTGGTGCATGTATGAACATGTCTGCACCTACTACTTTACTGTCCTTAATATTTAGCCTTTAGTTTTACATTTCTAAATTTTGATTTATAATGGGACATGATTTTGATTGTTCATCAACATCTCTTAGAATGTAGTAGACAAATTATCTGTAATTTTCAAAAACAAAGGTAGAATTTGCAAACAGGATAATGGTGATTAGATCCTTAAACCAGTCCAGGCCTTTGATCTTCAAGAGTTTCAAGTAGGTATCTTTAAAGTTTGAACATTATGTGATCTTAATTAGAAAAATCTGTAAGTACACACTGCATTTATACCAGCCTTTCATGACTCTTGTGGTTTTTCCTGAAATTCTATGAAGTTTTATAAATCAACAAAAGCTGTCTTACCTTTATCCTTTACCTTGTTTAGCCCACCATGTTTACTATTCAGTTCTCACTTGCTTTTGTGCTTGCACCAGAATATGAACTCATGTCTTTGAGCTCTTACTCAGCATTTTTTGCTCATCTGGTGCTCTACTACTTGAACCACACCTCCAGTCAAGCATTTCTCTGGTTAACTGAAGATGGAGTCTCCCAGATTTTTCTGCCCTGGCTGGCTTCAAAGCTCAGTCCTCCAGATCTTCAGAATAGCTAGGATTACAGGCATGAGCCATCAGCACCTGGTTCTCTCATTTTTTATCTGGGGAAAAATGGACTTTTTTTTTTTTTTTTTTGCTTACTTTTAGGGGGTAAATATTTTGAAGTGAAAATTACCATTTCCAAAATATGTTCTTCAATTATATCTGACATTTGAACAGCTTTTCTCCTAAAATATGTTCTGTTGCACACAAATCCCCAGGAATCACTACAGTAAGCTTCTAGGGTAAAATCTGGAAATATATCATGTCTTTATAATCACACTTGGAAATGCATATCACATTCCTCAAACTTACAGGTCACACAATCCTTTTAGCAGGGGAGTGGGGAATTACCTAACCCCTGCAGAATTAATGTTTCGAAAACATACTATAGAAAAGACGTAAAATGCAGGTCTTACCCTGTGGTTTATTCTTGAAGTCAGATTATTTCTGGTACAGAATTAGTGGGCAAGGGGGCCTGGTGAGTACAATGCCTGGATTTTTTGGTGATTGAGCAGCAAAAAATATGATTTGGACAAAACAACTCAGTAGGTAGAATCTGTCCTCGGTTACCTTCCGTATCCTGCCTTCTGCTATCAACTTCTCTCACAGGCCTGCCTTATCCAGGTAGATTCCAAAAGTATCTCTCCCACAGTGCATTTCTATTTCTCCCTTGATCAACATTCTTATTCCTACAATGTTATTTATTAGGAAATAGTAAGTACTTAGTACATTTATTGAAAATGGAGCTTTCATAATATACTTATTGTTTTGCTTGCTTCCTTAACTCTAGTTTTAGGCATGCTGTATATAATTTTCATTTTAATTTTTGGCCATGCAGTAATACTGTTCAATGCTGTTATTTTTCAAATCAAATAGTCATGGCCTATATAGTTAGAAGCTGAACAAATTGTGTCAGGAAAGACTTAGTACCTCATTTTTCTCCCTCTTCCCCCCTATAAAACATGTATTCTTAAACAGTGACTATCAAACTTAGCACAGTTGTTATAATTTCCATGATGACTATATACTTTTGGGGTCTGCCTATTCTATCCTAGTTTGGCTACCCAATGACTTGGCTTTGGTTTTTGGTTTTTTTTAATCACCAATTTGGGGTGGATTTGTCAATCTTGTGATCATTACATCTCTTACTAGGAAATTTGAAGACTTATTAGCCAGGCATGGTGATGCATGCTTATAATTTCAGTACTTAGAAAGCTAAAGGCAGATCATGAATTTAAGGTCAATGTAGGCTACTTAGCAAGTTCTGAGCCAGACTGGACTGTATAGCAAGATTCTGTCTAGGTAAATAAATAATTAAAAGCTTACTAATAACTTAATGAGCTGAACATCATGACACATATTGCAGTCCTAGAACTCAGGAGGCTGAGGCAAGGAGGCTTGGAGGCCAGCCTGGACTGTATATAGCAAGACCCTGTTTCCAAAACAATTGATATTTTTTTCTAAGCTACTGCTACCTGGTAAGATAGCTCAAGTATAATAATAGCTCATGTAATAAATAGCAGTGATATCTGTTGTTTATTTTATCTACTGAATTTCAAAAGCATACTATTACTCATGATGCCATTATTGATTCCCCTGCCAGTGCAATTAATACTCAACCACACTATTAACTGCAGTAGAGTTAACCTTGACTAGAGTTATCCAACTAGTCACTATAAGCAGCTTCCTTCCTTGAGCCACTTGATGGGACTACTTTAGTTGTGAATCAGGATTTTAATACTGGAAAAAAAATATGATTATCTGATACCATTCCTTGTTTTTTCAATAAGCAAACATATTTGGAAAGGCTATATGGTTACTCAAAATCATCAGTGGCATCTAGGCCTAGAAACCAAATCTCCCTTCTCCAGTTTCCCTGTTCTACTTTATGTTATGACTTTGTTTCCTTAGTGCTTTTGGTCTCTGTAGCAGTAATTATTCATAGTACATTGCTTAAAGCCATTGCCTGCTTAAAGCCATTGGCTTACTTCTTGTGAAATGTCATTAGGTTTTTATGTTTTGCTTAGGTGTTTTGTTTTCCATCTTCCTAACTTACCCAAAAGTGAAATAAGTTGAATTTAGTTAATCTTCTGCTTAAGCTGAAGATTAACTATGATTTCACCAGCATTATTTTTAACCTACTTGAAATAATTATAGATTCACAGGAAGTTACAAAGATAGTACAGAGATAGCCTATGTCCTTTTACCAGTGTCTCCCGTGGTTATATCTTACATAATTATAGTGTAACATAAAAACCAGGAAAAAGTATTGGCATAATATGTGTATTTCTATATCACTGTCACATGGGTAGTTTCATCTAAATTTGAGCAGTCAACAGCTGAGCAGTCTTCCATCTCTATCGTGAAGAATTGTAATAGTTGATACTCCCTCTTCCCTACTAGCTTAACCTCTGTACCCTTAATGCTAATGTTATACTTCCTGTATACATTCCTCAACCTCCAGGCATTTCTACTAAAGGTCAGTTTGATGTGTACAAAATGTTTCTATCATTGCTAACCCAGGTATCAACATGGTATTAATATAGGACAAGATGCTCCTGTCCTACAGAAAAGTTTCTTTACCAAAAAAAAAAAAAATAAAGTATAGATTTTTCATAATGCCTAATTTTTTTAAAAAAGCATAGTAGTAAGTAGTATCATTCAATAAAAAGGCAACTGAAGATTCTATTAATATGTAAGTTAACTGTCTTCAAAGCAAGAAAGACAAATAAAAATACCAATTTTTCCTCTTTTTTTTTTTTTGGTCAGTCGTTGGGCTTGAACTCTGGGCCTGGGTGCTGTCCCTGAGCTCTTCAGCTCAAGGCAAGTACTCTACCACTTGAGCCACAGCACCACTTCCAATTTTCTGGTGGTTTATTGGAGATAAGAATTTCATGGACTTTTCCTGCTCAGGCTGGCTTTGAACCATGATCCTCAGATCTCAGCCTCCTAAGTAGCTAGGATTACAGGCGTGAGCCACCAGCACCTGGCCTCTCATTCTATTCTTAAAATGTGACTGCTAATTTTTAAAATGTTTTCAAACTGCCTTCCATTTTATATTTAACCTTGTTTATCTTGGTATGTTTAGCAAACCTAGGTTAAATTAGTTTTGATAATTCTTTTTCATTATCTTAAAAATTCTTGGGTGATACTATACATAATCTCAGTACTTGGGAAACAAATGGTTTGTGAGTTCAAGTCCAGCCTGGGCTACATGGCAAGAATATGCCTCAGAAAAAAAAAAAATCTGATATCTGATTAAATAACTTCTAAGTCAGAGAACTTGATGAAATAAACATCTGGCAAAGTATTGTACACTCACCATCTCAGCACTTAGCAGACTGAGGCAAGAAGATAACAAGTTTGAGACTACCCTACAACATAGTGAGACTCTCTCCAAAAAAGGTAAAAGAATAATGAATTAAATTTCTGAAATCAGCATTTAAAAAAAATGTAGGCTCCATTTATATAGGCCCATAATTTCTTTTGAAATCAGAAAGTTGTGCCAGGTACCGATGGCTTACGTTTATAATCCTAGTTACTCAGGAAGCTGAGGACAGACCATTGTGGTTCAAAGGCAGTCCAAAAGACTCTAGCTCCAATTAACTGGCAGAGAGTTCTGCTGGAAGTGTGGCTCAAATGGGGAGGGGGGAGGGGCGGGGAGAGATTGGAAAGTTGTAAAGAACTAGAGACCTTGGACTTTGACCCTTGTCATTTTATATGTAGGAGAGGAACTAAATTAATTATACAAGATTATACAATTAATTACTTAGTAACACTAACAATTCAGCCTACTTTCAGTATGATACTTAATGGCGTTATATTTATGTTAAGAAATTTTAAATGACTAGTCCTTTAAAATAAATTTAATCACTAATTTTTAAAATACTTTTCTTGTAATCAACCTAATAGTTTAAATTGTGATTTGTGAATACATTGAAATTGTGACATAGAATAAGTCCATAAATTTGTTTGAAAATGTAATATAGTTCCACTTCTCAGATGAACTGTTCATAAATTTTGCAGTTTTAGTTTGTGGTAATACTTGCAAGTAACCTGAAGTTTTAAGTTATCCCAATTTTGTCTGTAGGTACTTCCTTGCCTAATATTAGGTCTTGCTATAATAGTTTTTTTGTTTGTTTTTTTTTTTTAAGGATTCTTTGTTGTTACACCTGTACTGATTAATTTTGATTTTTTGGTTTTCAACTCTAGGAGTCTCTACCCCCCGTCCAGTTTGACTGGAGTAGCAGCGGCCTTACTAACCCTTTAGATGGTACGTCTCTCCCTAGAGCCTCTAGCACCAGAGCTAGAGCTAAGAAAGCTACAAAGTTCAGACAAACTTCTCTCTGCTGATTTCCCTTTTTGTTTGAACATAACTTCTTATTCTTACCTCTTTGGAAATTCAGGCTTTCTTTCTGAATAGTAACTGTTGCTATTATCAACAGTATCAATGTCCAAATATAATTAGTATTAGCAAAGTAAAGTTTTAATTTCTTTATCTTAAAGCAGAAATAAGCCTGTTTTTTTTCTCAATATCTAGATAGTTTAAATGATATTTTAGCTAGAACAAATTTATGTCAATTTTTTTCTGTAGTTTTACTTTATGGTGTTTTAGGGGATTTTGTTTTGTTTTGTTGTGGATGCAAAGTCTTGTGGCTACAGGCTGCTTCAAAGCACAATTATTTAACCAAAAACATTGTGCAGACAAATCCATATTTGACTCAAAGTAGTTTTCAGACTTAATAATATTTTATAGAGCACTTACATGCAAATGGAAACTGAATGATTTTCTTGATCCCTTTTTAAAACTTATCTCCAGATTCTAGTAAGGCAGTTCCAGAGATCACTGATGTTGCTTGTGGCTTTAATTGAAAATTCTGAAAAAGGAGTAACTTGTTCTAGTAATACGGGGTCTTTACCACACAATGCTAGTTGCTACTGGTTACACCATGAGTTTCCAGTGGACCCTGAGATATAGTTACTTCTACTCCTGTGCTACTTAAATTATTTAGTCATTGTCTAGAATACCTGTCATCATCATCTCAGTGGCAATTATCATTACCATTGTCTAAAACACTGAGTTTTGTCTTATAGATGGGGTCCTAGGATATCTGGAAAGCATCCAATTGAATAACATAGCGCTGAAGGAAAGCCTGGATGCACCTTTTGATGTTGTCTGGTGTCTTCAGTCAAATCATAGTGCTTTTTATTAACAACCAACTTCTTTAAAACTGTATACTATTTCTGGTTACTGTTGCAGAGTTAAAGGGGAACAGTACAGCTTGTGCATCAGGGTAGGGCAGTTATGGCACTCCTTATGTTATAAAAATAAAACTAAGTTGATGTATTGGTGCATGTCCTAAAACTGACAGCTGTGTTGTTGCTTTTAATCATTAATTAGGAACCAACATTACTAACATGAAAGATTTATTTGGGCATGTACAGTGATCTAATGTTGGGTTGAGATTAAAGTATTGTTTCCCTTTAACGGGTACGCTTTCCCCGTGGTCTTTCTGGTATGGCTTTCAGTTTTGAGAGAACTGAACTAACCAAAACTTTTCTGAGTGTTATATTCTTTACATTGTACATGAGAAAATGTACATTGAATTAAATTGTTACTTTAGAAATGTCCTTAGTGGTGAAAAACTAATACTGTACACATTGTTTTAATGTTGATTTTTTTTAAGATGTGTAATGATTACTAATTATAACCTGCATGTTCAAGTGTGTGTCTTACCCCTTTTTACACATAACCCCTCCTCCCTTGGCTTCCCTTCTGTGTGGCTGCCTACCAACACGGTCACTGAATTTCAAGCTAGTGGAGGTTCCACTCTTCTGAACCTTGATTTCTTTGGGCCCGTGGATGACAGTAGCTCTAGCAGCAGCACCACAATCCCAGGTCAGCAGAGTGTTAAAACCACAATTCTAATTGATTTACTAAAAGCATGACCACAACACGACTTTCCTATAAACAAGGAAACAAGTAGATTGGATATTCTATGTCTTTTTAATACTTTTTCATTTACCTGTTCTTTTCTAGTATCTGACCACAACAAATAACTTTGGTAAAATATATCTTTTTAAAAAAACCTTCTCAGTGTAGTACTCAAAGCTGACAGTAATTTCTAGTATTATACAGACCTGATATCATAAAAACAGGGCAAGTTTTTTTCACCCCTTCAGAATAGAAAATTACTTTTACATGCTTCTTTTTAAGGGCATAGTCTCTAAAAACCATTAGGAAAAGTACAAGATTAGAAATATAAGAATATTTTAGTAGTCAGCCATGGTGTCTCACGGTGTAATCCTACCTACTCAGGAAGCTAAAGTCTGAGGATCAGGTTCAAAAGCCAGCCTAGGCAGGAAAGTCCATGAGACTGATCTCCAGTTGACTACCAAAAAAAGCTGGAAGTGGATCTGGCTCAAGTGGTAAAGTGCTAGACATGAGTAGAAAAGCTCAAGGACAGTGCCCAGGACCTGAGTTCAAGCCCCAAGACCAAAACAACAATGACGAAAAGTAGTATACAACAAAGATTTTACATAGTACCTGTAATGATAGAAGCTTTACAGATTCTAGCATTTTGTTTATTAGTGCTGCTAAATACATAATTAGGTTCCAGAATATTGAAGTCTAGCACATAATTTATATAATCTAACACAGAAATACTATTTTTATGTAGAAAATACACTACTGGTTTCTCATAGAGGAAAATAAAAGTTAACAGAATAGTAGAAAAAATTGCTATAAGTTACTAAAAGATAGAAATTAAAAGTTACTGGAATGCTGTTATACAGAGGCTAAGTTTATTGACCTAAAGACTAATGTACTTTGCCATTTTCTAACTAAATAAAAGATTAAAAGCTATAATGTCATTTTTATGTTACAGTGTATTTGATTTTAATGAGTCCTTATTATCCCAAATGATGATCTGGTAATAATGCCCAGTATTTATCAGCCAACCACTAGGTGCTATATGAATGCTGGCTACTGAGTGCATAGCAAAGATCCCTCAGTGCCCAACCAGTGGCCAGTTTCACAGCCAGTTTAGTTACTGGGAATTTGTTCTATTCCACTGGATAGACCAGTCACCCACTTCCAACAGTTTAGGAAACATAGTGGAATATGTGGGGAGAATTACAGTTGGCTGTGGGCAAGCTAGGGACCCGGGATGCCCTTCTCAGATCTAGTTAGGAAAGTGTCCCGTGAAACCCGAGCCCCTGCACTTTTCTAAAGTCTAAGCTCCTCATTCCCTTTTTCTTTGTTTTCAAGATTTTACAAGTATATTTAAAAAACCAGTCTGTCTGCTTCTGATTTCAAGATGATATTTACTATTTACTTAAATTACTTATTAATTCGATCTTTGGAATGAACTAGAGTTGTATGACATTTTATAATACTTAATGGAATAAAAGGGAGCAGCCAAAAAATTGCCAAAATAAGGGGGGAATTTCCTTTATTAATATAGTCCCAAGAATTCTGAAGCTCCCATTTAAAATTTGCTGCTATTTAGTCATAACCTATATTAATTGCAGGTTATGAGGCTACTTTTTTTCTTTTGGATATCTAAATTTTGACTTAGATTTAATTTTTGCTTACATAAAAACTCATTTTAAAGCCATCCATAGGAACACAAATAATCTGGCAACACAAAGACATTACAGAACTGAGCTGGCAGTCAGTCTCAGTGTACACAGCTGCACAAAGAGCAAGCAGTTTGAAAAGCGTAGAGCTATAATGAGAGTGGAATTAGCACAGTCAAAATTCAGTCCTCTTTTACTTGGAACCCATTTAAATATTTCTATTAAGTATTTCTATTAATATGCTTTAGCTGCTATATAAATTTGATTATAATAGATTTGCTTTGGCTTTTTATTGCTATTAGGTTTTGTTAAAACTTACCATCAAGCTACAGGTGTCAACACCTGCCTTAGTGACATTTTACCACCTGCTTGCACTTTTTCTGACTTGTTTCTGGGAAAGTCATTTTGTCTTAGCTTGCGGTTATTTTGTGTGTGATTCTTAGGAGGTTGGCGTAGAACTTGGTTGGCTAGCTTTAATTATGTAATTAAACTATGCCTCATTAAGGTTCTGTGGGAGAAAAAAACTTCATTAAAAAAGTACTCTCCAATTATTAGAGTATACTAGGTAATTGCTTTGTTTCAGAAGACTTGAACCATATTTGTTATGGTGGATTTTAAGAGTCCTTTGGTTATATTTATTTGTTTAGCAAAAGGAAGATGAGGGAGTGATCTTTTAGGGTTTGTTGTTGTTGTTGTTGCCGCCCTATTTTTAATGAGCCACTTTACTATGTGACAGCCAAGTGGCCAGTATCTAATAAGCCCAACTAAGATTTCCCTTGCACTTTCCTGATGGCAGTCAAATGCAATTACTTATTCTGCATTATATGATTAGACATCAACTTAATCTTCAATTTCTTGGAGTCTAACCTTTAATAGTAGAGGAGGAAAAATGCCTGGGGTTTGTTGAATCCCTTTATAGACATGATTTTGTACATTTGTGCATTTAAATGCAGTCCGTATACTTACTGTAGAACCAGAGAAACCATTTAATAAGTACACTTTGAAACTATACCTTAATGAAATATTGAGAACTTGGAAGAATCAGCTTACATTTTCTATAGCCTTCCTCCCTTGGACTTGATAACTATGGAAGCCGCTTTTGCTTGTTCAGTTTCTGTAAACATCTGAGTTCTATGTTTATATATGCCAGTCATCTACAGAGAAAGAAGCCAATTGTGATTTTTTTACCTTGAAATATCCTAAAAAGAGGGACTTTGTTAGTATAAATATGTCTGTTAGGTATAATAGGTTTGATTATAATCCAGTCTTGCAGGGTTTTTTTAAAAAAAAATAAAACCAGCCAGGTACAACCATGCACACCTATAGTCCAGCTACCTGGGAGGCAGGGATGGAAGAGTCATTTGAGCTGAGGAGTTCAAGGCCACCACAGACAACTGAAATGCCTATAACTCCCCTCCTCTCCAAACAAGTAAAAATTGAAGAGGTAGATAGATGGATAGATACATACATACATACATACATACATAGACAGACAGACAGACAGATACATAGATAGACAGACATGCAACACTGAGTAAAACATTTTTTTTACAGTCTACTTTTCTTTATAGTGTACAACTACTGAAGTTTCTACTCTAATTTGGTAGAACCAAGGAGAATAGTATTAAAAACATTTTTATTGGAGTGTATTTATTACCCAAAGTTTAGAGTAAGTTAAAATATTTAGCTTTTCTAGTGTTTCTGTAATCATTTAATATAAGCCTATATTACAGTTATAAAAATCATAAATCATTTTTGTGAAGATGGGAGGATTTTTAATTGTAGACTTTTGCATTTCAGTTCTCTAAATTAGGCTCCTTTTGAATTTTAATTAGATATTTGAACTATAGGCTGCTAAATTTAGATATAAGACTATAGAAATATAACCTGGAGGTAAGAATTTTTGTAGTAGTGCTTTGATGTCACTGTTTCTGAAACTATTTTTTCCTTTCCACTTCTTACCTGAAAAAGAACAATATGGTCATTTGATGATTTGAGTAATAGTTCATTTTTTAATGTGTTTATAATATATTAAGTAAATACAGTCATGTAGAATAACCAAATCATTAAATATGTTTGAAGTTTATATTAGCTTCCAAGTCTCTTGCTGTAGAAGAAAATAAGGAAGAAAAAATGGCTAGGGAAGTAGAGGAAGGCTCAAAAGTTAAAAATTGGGAGTTTAAAAATAGAGTTTCTATTTATGAAACACTGACAACAATCCAAAGCTGAAGTTTTCTATAGAAGGTAGAAATTTTTTAAAATATTTGGGAAGCAGGTACTACATAAATTTAAAGATAAATGTAATTCAAATTACGAGTTTTTAAAAAATAGTAGTTTTATTTTTGTAGTTTAAAAAATAAACACAGTATCACAGTGTTCTAAAAATGGGTTGAACTTGTGAGAGGCTCAGATGTTTACAGAACATTGCTGCTGCATCTTAGATTGTGGCTAATTGAGTAACCCAGGCAGTTTGCCATCACTGACTGTCATTTCATACTACAAGGTGTGGATCCAGAGTTGTATGAATTAACAACTTCTAAGCTGGAACTTTCCACCTCAAGCCTCAAAGTGACTGATGCGTTTGCAAGACTCATGTCCACAGTAGAGAAGACAAGCACATCTACCAGGTAAATAAGCAGGTAGTGTTAATTATACCCTAATGTTGAATTCTGAGACCAAAGGCAAAAGGAGTGTAAATTGGCAATGTTTCAGGATATTGTATTAAACTACTTTATATTTTTTAAAAGCCAACAGATGCCTAAGAAAATGTTACCAAATTATGTCTAATAATGAACTTTGTTAAAGCAGAGTTATTTCATAAGTCTGGAAAGGACTGACAGATGTTGTTTGGCTTTTCCTTCCCTTCTCCCAATTCCCTCAACTTTGTAGAAAAAAAAAAAAAGCCACATTGATGAGAAAATAATTCTGATTAAAGTATTGAGATCTGGAAGTCATTGTAGAAACATTTCTCTTTCCTTCATGATTACTAAGTTCATCTTTGGGAACCAAGTTTCATACTCATAGTGTGTGCATCTAGGCTAATTTTTTTTTACTTCCAAGTTAACATAGGATAAATAGCCACTCATATTTCCAGATTTTCACTGATGGAGGTATGAAGTCTTCCTAAACAGGCACTCTTCCTCAGAGCTAAATCCCCAGGCCTCTGTGAAACCCTCCCTTCTCAAGCTTCCTGGAAACCTCTTAGTGATACAGCCTTTAAAGAAGCAGTTAACTCTAGTGATACAGCCTTTAAAGAAGCAGTTAACTATCAGTGTTGGAACCAGAGATAGGGCCTCAAGCATAGGATTTGTGAAACCTTTAAATTGATGTAAGTAAGCAATGGAATAACCCATTGATTTGACATGTAAGAATAATAAGCCAGTTCTTAATAGAAAGGCAGTCATAATGAGCCAGAATATCACTTGTATAAGAGCAAATACTGGTTGGTTGACCTGCCAGTTCTGCATCCATAATTCATCAGCATTTTAAAGAGGAATATTGGGCCACGTACTAGTGGCTCATGCCTGTAATACTAGCTACTCAGCAGGCTGAACTCTAAGGATCAAAGTTTGAAGCCAGTCTGGTCAGGAAAGTCTATGAGACTCCATTAACTACCAGAAAGCCAGAAATAGAGCTTTGGCTCCAGTGGTAGAGGACTATCCTTGAGCAAAAGAAGCTCAAGAGCCAGAACCCAATCCCTGAGTTCAAGACCCAAGGTCTGCATAAAAAATAAATGAAGAGTAGTTACATGTTAGTTACCTGTTTGGGAGATTAGTACAGCTTTCTCTTGCATAAACACATACCATTCACATGTTAAATTCACATTTATCAATTTTATTGAAAAATCCACCTCCTCTTTTCTGTCTTAAAGCTATATCTTAAATTTAAAACTACAGGGGCTGGGAAGGTGGCTCAGTGGTAGAGCGCTTGCCTTGCATGCCTGAGGTCCTGAGTTTGATTCCTCAGCACCACATAAGCAAAAAGAAAAAAGCTGGAAGTGGCACTGTGGCTCAAGTGGTAGAGCACTAGCCTTGAGCTGAAGAGCTGAGGGACAGCACCCAGGCCCAGAGTTCAGGCCCCACAACTGGACCCCCCCCAAAAAATAAATAAATTTAAAACTATATTGTAAACCATATTTATTAAATCAACAGATATTACTTTCCCCTAGAATAGACGTAGCCTGAAAGCAGGCCCTTTCTGTCCACAGACTCCCTCCATTGCCCCGAGTCATCATGGTGCCACTTGGCACTACCAAAGCCTCCTACTACATGGACCTCCTTGTAAGCGTAGCTATCATGGGCTTGGTGCAGGCATTTAACTTCTCTTTCCAAATCATTTCTTCAAGGTAACATTCTCTTCCTAATTTCTCATCCATTTCTTCTACATATGTTAACTGAAAGCAAATAAATGCACATGTGTGACTTTAAAGCCAACCTGATATATTCACTGTCAGGCTGTTCCTGGGACAGACCTACTGTTTCCTCACCATTTTCCCCCTTGGAGTCTTACCGTTGTTTTAAAGTTCCAGTGCTGAAAAGTACTCCTTGTACCATTAGGAGGAGCTCCAAACCACGTTAACTAGCCTGCTTTCCTGATTTTTAAACTTACCCTTGAAACATACTGTGTGTATAGAGTGTTTTTTCAACCCCTATCACTAAGTCTTTCTCATTTTTCTCTTATTCTCAACTAAAACAATGAGCTAAAGCTATCACATGCATCCTAGGGGCAATGGTAAAGTTGCAGTAAATTATCTCTGGCAATTGTCTAACTTATTAAAGTGCTATGGATCAAAACCCAGTTTGTAGCTGGGTGCTGGTGGCTCACACCTATAATCTTAGCTACTCAGAAGGCTGAGATCTGAGGATTGAAGTTCAAAGCCAGCTCGGGCACAAAAGTCCTTGAGGCTCTTATCTCCAATAAACCACTCATAAAACTGGAAGTGGCGCAGTGGCTCAAGTAGTAGAGTGCTGGCCTTGAGCTGAAGAGCTGAGGGACAGCACCCAGGCCCAGAGTTCAAGCCCCATGACCAAAAAAAAAACAAAATCAAAAGCAGTTTGTAAATGGTAAGCAGACTCTACCACTTACCTACACTCTTAGCCCCAACTTTATATTTAAAACAAAATAAACTAGGCATGAATATTCCTGTTTATAATCCCAGCTATTCAGGAGCAGAGATCAGGAGGATTACAGTACCAGGCCACCCCAAGCAAAAAGTGAAATCAGTGAACCAGGGCATTTTAGCATACATCTTTTATCCTAGCTATTTAAGAGACCATGGGTAGAACAAAGTCCAAGGCTGACCCCAGGCAAAAAAATGCAAGGCCAGTCAAGAGATAGTGGCTCATGCTTGTAATCCTTAGCTACTAAGGTAAGGAGACTGAGATCTAAGGATGGTGATTTAAAGTTAGCCCAGCCAGGAAAAGGGTATAAGATTCTTTATCTTCAATTAACTACCAAAAAACCAGAAGTGGATCTTTGGCTCAAATGAGTGAGCACTAGTCTTAAGCAAAAAAGCCCAAGCCCTGACTTCCAGCTAAGGACATACACATGCACACACGCACGCACACACATGACTATACATGAAAACTGAAGTAAAACAGCTGAGGATATGGCTGAATGGTAGAGCACCTGCCTAGCAAATGTTATGCTCTGAGTTCAAACTCCAAGGCTCCCCCCCCCCCCACACACACACACTCACAGGAAAAAGAAACTGAAAACATAGTGTGCCAACTTTCGATTTTTTTTTTTTTTAAGGAAAATATGCTGTTTGAAAATAGTGAGAAGTTCAGATATCCTTAAGTCTTAGTATTTAAAGTCCCACGATAACAAACAAATGCAGTGGTAGTACGGTACTATAAATGATACAACTTGTGAGCAGGGGGAAGGGAAAACTGGGAGAGAGCCAAGGAAGGGATAACATTGTCTAAAAGGAAATGTACAGCCGGGTGCTGGTGGCTCACGCCTGTCAACCTAACTACTCTGGAGTTTGAGATCTGAGAATCACAGTTCAAAGCCAGCCAGGGCAGGAAAGTCTGTGAGACTCTTATTTCTAGTAAAACACCAGAAAACCAGAAGTAGTGCTGTGGCTCAAGTGGTAAAGCACTAGCTAGCCTTGAGCTCAGCTCAAGGAACAGTACCCAGACTCAGAGTTCAAGCCCCACCACCACCACCAACAACAACAAAAAGAAATGTACTCATTACCTGACTTATGAAATTACCTTTACAATAATAGTTTTTTTAAGGGAAAAAAAAAGTCCTACCAATTATATAAGCTTTTCAACTTTACATTCTTACCAACACTTGTTACTGTCTTTCTTTTTGGTGATAGCCATCCTAGTGGATTTGAAATGGTATTTTACTGTCTTTTTTTTATTTGCATTTTCCGGGTGGCTAACAATATTAACCATTTGTGTATCTTCTTTGGAGAAATGTCACTCAGTCCCTTTGCCTGTGTTTAAATTATTTAATTTGAAAGAGTTCCTTATAAATTACCAATACTAGACTTTTATCAGCTATATAATCTACATATTTTTTCTCCCATTCTGCAGGTTGTATTTTTTTTATAGCATCCATTATAACAAAGTTTTCATTATGATGGAGCCAATTTGTATGTATTTTTTTCTCTCTTGTTGCTTTACTTTAGGTCTAAGAAACCATTGCCTAATTCAGGAAGATTTATACCTACGTCTGATCCATTCTTTATTAATTTTTATACGTTGTGACATAGAGGGCCTGTCTGTCTTTACATGTGTATGTACAGTTGTCCCAGTATTATGGAAAGATCTTGGCATGCTTGTTATGTATGGGGAAATGGATATAGAAACACAGTTTCTTCCTGGCCTTTTAGTTGTGTTCTATTTTATTCTCCCAATAAATTTTATTAATAATATTGTATAAATCTATAATAAAAGGTTTTATTATAGAAATATCATTTCCAAATAGAACTTTGCAGAGTTCTCCAAGAACTATTTCCATACTACCAAGCTAATCAACCTTGCATTAGAAACAATTTCTTTTTTAAATAATATTGTATTTTATTGTAAAAGTGATGTACAAAGAAGTTACATTTCTGTTAAACAGTGCTACCCCTTCCCTTGTTTTCTCCCACTTTCCTACCTCCCCCCCAGTTGTAAAATTCATTTCTAACATAGTGTCTTGTGAGTATCGCTGTTGCATTGGCTCACCCTTTGTTTTGTTTTTGTGTGTTTGTTTTTGTCAGTCCTGGGGCCTGAACTCTGGGCCTGGGTGCTGTCCCTCAGCTCTTCAGCTCAAAGCTAGCAATCTACCACTTGAGCCACAGCACCACTTCCAGCTTTTTTTGCTTATGTGGTGCTGAGGAATCGAACCCAGAGCCTCATGCATGCCACCTTCCCAGCCCTGTTATTTGTTTTTTAACCAGTGAGAATAAAGATCAAAATTAGATTCTTACCTATGAAGACTGGCATATGTATCCCATAACTACAAATGCACAAATGTAAATTATGTGAATTTTAAAAGTATAACTTTACATTGCCTCCAGGTAGTGCCTCTAAAATGTAACATTAGTTGCATTGTGCTTTTTTAAAACCTATACTAATTTTTACACACTGTTTCTTTGTTAAAGCCCATTCCAGCTGTACTCCACAAAAGGGGAAATTCATCTAGACAGTCTCATTTGTTATTGTGTCAAATAGCCATTTTTTTTAAATTACAAAAGCAGTAAAGTCATATTGTAAGAAGGTAGAAAATTGAAGTTTTACATTCTTAACATTTAAATCACTGTGACTCCCTTGTTGTGCATTCTTTTCAAGTCTCTTTTCCATGATAAATTCTTACCTATATTTTTTAAACAAAAATCAGATATAATCTATACTGAATTAAACTTGTTTACTCAATGATGTGTATCTGTCGGTTTCATTGAGTTTTCATTTCATAAAAGATTCAGGCTGGATTCATATTTCACAGACACTGTTGTTCCTGTTTTGTACAAACCAATATTCAATCCAGATTTTGTTCCCAGCTGCATGTCCTCAGTTCCTTCTCAGCTAGCTTATATCCTCCATCCCTTTTGTTGTTTTTTATGTTTTTTTTTTTTGGTTGTGGGGCTTGAACTCAGGGCCTGGGTGCTATCCCTGAGCTCTTTTTGCTCAACGCTAGTGCTCTACCAGTTTGAGCCACAGCTCCACTTCCAGTTTTCTGGGGGTTAATAGGAGATAGAGAGTCTCGTGGACTTTCCTGCCTGGGCTGGCTTTGAACTATGATCCTCAGATCTCAGCCTTCTGAATAGAAAGGATTACAGGCATGAGCCACCAGTTCCCGCTTTTTTCTACATAACTCATTTGAGTCACATTTGACTGGCATTTCCTACAGCTCGTCCACCTGGCTTAGCAGGCATTTTGCATATCTGTGTTAGGCCCCAAACTGGTCACTGGGGGTCAGTGTGGTAAAATAGATGTCATGTCAAAGACCATAGGAGGTAAAGATCCTGCCTGTATCCCAGCCAGGCCAAGGGCTCCCTCTCCTGGAGTTTCCCATGGGAATAAAGAAAGCCTGAGGTTAAGATGACTTCTAATACCTTGTGCCACATGTTTTGTGTGGAGGTAATTTTGGTAAGTTTCACAGGGGTAGGGGAAAATCCAATTAGATGGAGTGTTATTAGAATGTTAACACCATTACACTGCTCTATGCCTGGGCAGGTATTTCTAGCCGTACGCAAAGGTGAGCTGTACATGTGACTGACTGTGTGTATGTGCTAGCCCTAACAAAAATACAAAAGCAGCCCATTTGTTGTTGTTCATAAGAGATTCAGCACGGGGCACAAGAAGCACATACACCAAAGGAAGTACCAGTCTTTGCTTAAGTACCAAAGATTGCTAACTCCCCACCCTGAGAATGGCTTTCTCCCATCCAACCTACAGCAAAGTCCCATGAACACACTTGCCTTTTTTTCATCCATTCATAGGAAACCAAAAAGAGAAGAACACTTGAGTGAAGAAGCTGTCAAGGTGATTGCCAGCCTTCCTGACCTGACATTCATGCATGCCAAGGTGTTGATGTTCCCTGCCACCTTAACACCTTCTACAAGCTCCCAAGAACAGGCCGACTGATCACGGGCTGAACTGGACAGTTTCAAATCCTTTTTCTCTCCTCTTTCCCTTCCATACCATCAAAAGCATACCTGCTCTGATTAAAAAAAAAAAATTCAACTTCAGCTGATTTGTTGGTAAGCCGCACTAGAAAGGTATACATAGTAATGTATATTTTATTTACATACTGAAGTCCTAAATTTATATTAGAAAAATGTAAATAATCGGGGATGAACATTTTTGAAGATTTATTCTTTTTGTGTTGCTGGGGTGTATACATTTATGTCTTTGTGAAATACACTGGTGGTGTCCTTCTTACAAAACTTTTGAAATAAAAAAAAAATTTAAAAAACTCAGATCTCCACTGTCTGAAATCCCCTTCAGTCTTTTCCAGTTGCATTGAATGCCCTCTTACTTTTTCATGTCACATGTTGGATTACTTTTGCTATCATAAATAAGGTCCAAAGTCCCTGGTTAATTTTTTTTTTAATTTTGTGTGTGATGGGTTTGTTTCAGATCTGGCTTTGGTTAACATTTTATGGCTCTTTTTTAAATCTTTTCAATCTGGCATATTGCTATTTGACCTTTTGCTAGCTACTTCATCGATGGCTCTTTTTGCTATAGGATATGGATCATTGTCAGAACTTGATTGGAGGGGTCAAAGAGATTGTGTCTGTTTTAAATCTGTTTGATTTGAAGAAGGACCAAGTTTTATGAATGTCTTACAATGAAATTTTCTTGTACTGATTTTTGTTCTATTGTACCACTATTTTTTGAGGATTTTGCACAGTGTAAAATGACATAATCATAGATTGCTATGGTTTAGGCTGTATATACAGTGAAAACTATGGGTTTTAAATGTTTGGGGAAATTCCTATGGAAAAAAGAGAGACATGTAGAAGAACCTCTAACAGGGTTAATGTGCATGCCCAAGGTCTTTTGAGATTTCAGTGTGTAAATTTCCTTTTAGCTTACACAAAAATAAAATAATTTAAAAGAAATTTGCCTGTTGTCTTTGTATTTTGGTATCTGAGGGAAAATGCAACTAATGTATTTTAACTCCAAAGGAAATCATTTGATAGGACTTGTACTTTTTTGAAATCAGAAAAATTTAGAACTGGTCTTTAAGAATTAGATAGTGCTTTCAGTAGCTGAGCTGTTTTTATATGTTTACCAAGAAATGATCAAAGAATTCTCATGATTCATTGTAACATTGTCTTCAGATTATTGGCGGTTAAATAAGGATTTGCAGGGATTTTTTTTCCCTTCCAAGGAAGTGTATGCATGAAATTAAGGTGAACAGATTTCTAAAAATAATTTTTAGAATTTTTTTCAGACAAAAGCCCCATCCTAATTTCAAAAGGAATAGGTCATCGCCAATAGCAGCTCTCCTCATCCCACACAGGAGTGCCCCAGTGGGCTCTTGCCCCTCTACCCAACAGGCTCCTGGTTGCCAGGGTATACAGCTACAGCAATACTCCTCTGAGTGTAGTGTACACATAGTCTACCATGACATGATGCTTATCCAGACATCTACCATTTCCCAGACTTTTCTCATCCAAGGAAGACATTCTGAATGTCTTCTTCCGAAATGTGGAAGAAGAGAATTTAAGATTTCAGGAGAACTTTAGCAAATCTGCTTATTACTATGTTAGTAAAAGCTAGTCTCTGAGCTTGAATTATATTCACTCTAACAAATAAGAACAATACTATCTACTTCATAGAGCTGACATATTAAATAAAAGATGTGCACACCCATGAATCTGACATTTGGAAGGTTGAGGCAGGAGGATCCAAAGTTCAAGGCTAGTCTAGGGTACACAGCCAGAGCTAGTTTATGAACAAATAAATGAGAGGAGATGCAAGGCACCTAAGCAGTCAGAAGTGGTAGATCATAGCTGCAACAAAATCTATGTGAAGTCCCAGGGACTAGAGAAAGAATAACATCAAATAACAATGCAAGAGCTTGTTATTGGAAAACAATCAGGTGGCCCTGTTCTAATGACTTACAAAGTATCTCCTCTTATAACCACCTCTCAGTAATCCAGTCTTGCCTGTTGTATGTCATAATGGTCTTTGCTGTTTTAATTACAACAGACCCTACTATTGGACTGTCCTAGGTTAAAGTCACTGTTTCAATAGTGATGACCAAAAATACTCTGCAGCCACCTAGGCTCAAACTGTACCTCGAACACTCATAGGGGACTTTCTGGTGGGGCCTTGAGCGCCTCCCTGGTATCCTAGGGAGTCAACTATCAGTTTCTGGTAATCAGCTGCTCTGGCAGCAGCTACCATGCCTTCTCACAGTCCCACAGGAAAGGAAGAACCTGCAGAGTTGGAGAGGGGAAGATGCCACGGAGCAAGAGTCCCAATTGACCAACCCTCACACTGATGTAGTGGTCAGCTGTGTCCGTCCTACTCTAAAATCAGTGCACACACCAGAGGTCTCACCCCATGCTGTGGCCAGATCCAAACAGCCAGCGAGCCATTAACACCCAGCCTAATCCAAAGTGAGGCAGAGGGGAAAACTTGCTGAAGTTCAGTGTGTCACTACTCTTTATGAGTTATTTCTGATAGAAACTCCTGTCCTCTACATGATTATGATTTTTATTTAGAACTTGTCATCTTTTCCTTCCTTCATATTTTTTGAATCAAGATTAGGCTTAGCTGTGGGGAATAAAAATCTAAAATACTGCATTTTGTGTAATAAGAGTCATCCTTTTGTCACATTTTAATTTCTCTAGAATTGAGGTGTGTTATAGCAATGGAAGGGTTAAACTGGCAATGGATTCTTTTTATTAGTGGTGTAATAAATAATGTTCTTACAACCAGTGGTGGAGAGAATGAAAATGGTAGCGAGGGACCCTTCCCTTTTCCCACACCTCTCCCCCTGACTCCCTCACCCCCACCACTGGCCATCATGGATGAAAGGGTGACAAAGTTCTCTTTTGCACTCGACTTCCCTTGAGGCATACACACTTCCACTCACAGTCTATTAGCCAGAACTTAGTGGTAGCATCATATCTAGCTGATCTGGGAGACCATCTTCAACTGGATGGATTCTGGTACTAAGGAAATAGAGAACATATCATGGAGGGAACCAGAAGTCTGGGACTCATATCTCCCACTTCTCAGCCCATATAAAGCCACTGAGAAAGTTCACATCCAGAGAAATGCGTGTCAGAACCATTGTCTCAAGATGCAATGCCCCAGAGTAGATCTAGTGCTTCCTGATGCTTTTCCAAGGAGGAAAAGAACATGTTGAGAACAGGACAGGGTTTTTCAGCAATCTTGATAGAACATTGCTAAGATAATCATGGGTAGAAGTCGAGTTAAGGTAAAAGGAACACCAAGAATTGTGTGTTAGATACAGCTCTGCCATTAGCCAGCCAAAAGATCTAGGCTGTCTCTTGCCTAAAACCTGTTAGATTCTCCAGGTAATGAGGAATGGGAATCTTTAGAATAAAAAATGTAAGGTGGGAGTTGGGGTGTGTGGCTTGTAGTAGAGTGAATAGCATGCACAATACCCTGGGTTCAGTCTCCAGCACCCTAAACCAAAAATCACTAAGGAGGAAACCTTAAAGAACCAGAGACTTTGAGGGCTGGAGGATAAGCTGACCAAATGCTTTCCAAACCACTCCCAGGGCAGGGGGTGTCCCTGCAGCACCACACTTGGCACATAGGCGGCAGAACAGCAACCTCAGAAGATTCTGTGTAATAAAGGGATTCCATGGCTACAAAAAATTAAGAGCCAAAGATGATTCCATTCTCATAGCTGAGGAAACTGAAGCATAAACAAACCGATTTGCACATTACACATCTATAACCTGAGGCCAGGACTTGCTGGGGCAAGCATTCAACCACTGAGCTATCGCTACAGTTCTGCTGTCAGGAGTAAGGGTAGAAAGTGGTGGTCACCTTGTTGAAACCCTAAAAGGCAGTGTGAGCTGTAACCTTCACTCCTTTGGCCCTCTAGGTCAGGCTTATCTCAGGAGCCTCTTCCACTTTACTGCGTGTTGAGATTAGTGACTTGGGTTGCCAAAGCCCAAAAGATACCATGTCTCTGTCCTACATCCATCTCAGAAAAAAAGGTTGTTCTCTCTGACACAGTATTTTCTCCACATCTACCTCAAAACATCCAGCCTCCTCTTCCTGAGTTACAACACTCCTCTGCTGGCCTAGCAGCAACTTCCCCCCACCCCCACCGCCGCCGCCACACACACACACACACACACACACTCCAGAGGGCACCACAAGACACGAGTACCACAACCTTCTTGTATGCCCCTGCCCCACCTCTGACCTTTGACAGGTCCTCTTTCCATTGGCCACGCCCACATGTATTCTTACTCAATGCCCCATCTTCTCCTCTCATTCTTAGACCTATGTTATCCTTCTAAATCCCACTTCCTTGCTGTAGGCCTTCTACCTCTCCTCTGTGGTCATAGCCTCCTGATCTTCCTCCGCCTTTATCCTCCCAATCTAACCTTCCACAATGCCAACAGAATACTCTCTTATTGGGAAAAATCCTTCACTACCACCCAACAAAGTCTTTAAGCTCCTAGAACATTGCCTGGCACTATGTTGTGCCTGCTGTCTACCCTATGGGCTCCTTGGAAGCCATCCTGACCAGGCCACAGAGAGGGCCCTGTGTGCATGGCCACAGGCCAGAGGGCACCGCTCAGTGTCTGAGCACTCAGTGTCTGAGCAGGCCTGAGCACGGCTCACAGGGGCTCAGGGATCAGAGACCACATTCACCTTGAGAGCCACCCCCCTACACACACACAAAAGAGGATGACACGACATCCCAACAGAGCCATTAAACTACAACTGATGTGCCAAGGGTACCCAAAGGCTGATGCACAGTCACTGTGGTTGGTGCCCAGCCAGCCATCAGCTTCCAGCATCCTATTGATCTCATTCTGTTTCTCCGTTAGCCAAACACGGTTTTCCCTATCTGAGCTGGCAGTGGTATAGGCATTGTTGGGGTGATTGGAGAGAGGAAAAAGGAAGCTGCTCCTGCTGCTGTGGTCCTGAACCCTAAAAAAGCCAGCAGGATGGCAAAGCCACAGGAGGGCTCCCTTTTACCAATTCAAGCCATGGGTAGAAGCCAAGAGAGACATTTTTGTGCAGTCAGCATTTCTACTCAGAGAGAAGCATTCCCAAGAACCATTTCCTCCTTGCATTATGCTTATAGGAAATATCACATAGGGTGCTTGAGCAGGCCTGCAATTTGCTGGTGTGTGTGTGTGTGTGTGTGTGTGTGTGTGTGTGTGTGTGTGTGTGTGTGTGTGTGTGTGTGTGTGTGTGTGTGTGTGTGTGTTGCTGGTATGGGGGCTTGAACTCAGGGCCTTGGCACTGTCCCTTAGCACTCTATCCAGAACTCCACTTCCAGTTTTTTTTGGTAGTTAATTGGAGGTAAGTGTCATGGTCTTTCCTGCCCAGGCTGGTTTCAAATCACATTTCTGAGATCGCAGCCTCCTGAGTCGCTAGGATTACAGGTATGCACCACCAGCACCCAGCTCTTTGCTTTCCTTTTTGCCAAGTTGCCTTGAGAACTCGGACTTTGATCTGGGTGGAAATCATTAATCTACTGGTTTAAAAGAAAGGCTAGGCCCCGCATTCCACCTCCTGCTAGAATAAAATGTTGGCTCAATGAGGAGCCAACCTAACACTGGTCTTAGCGTCGCGTCCATGCCTTCTTCATCTCCTTTCCCCTTCCCCCACCCTCCCTCTGTCCTAATCCAACTTCCTGGGCCACCAATGTCCTGTGTCCTGCCGCGAAGACAGGAGGCCTTGCTCCCCTCAGCTACTATCTTGTAACCCCCTCCTAATTTACAATCTGTTTACTGCTTCAGATGTTTGGAAAGAAAACACCTTAGTCAGCAACCCTGGAAAGCTCCATTTTCAGTGAAATCTGGACACTTTTTTTTTTTTTTTTCATCCCACCCCAGGTTTTTCTGGTTTTGTGGCTAGAGCCTAACATCTGTGAGGCAGACAGGGC